AGATATCTTATAATTAGAGAAAAAATTTAAAAAAGAAACACTGTCGTAGTCATTGGCTGTACCTATCATTAGTCTGTAAAAAAAATCAGCTTCATTCATCCAACGGTAACCTAGGTATATCCGTAGAAAGTTCGTGAAAAACCGACTAAGAATTGTTTTTTACGGAGTTATCAAATGTTCGCGATTTTTTTAAATATTTTTTTAAGAGCTATTATCAACGTTTTCATTTGGTGTATAACTTATTTTTTCGAAAAACAACCTTTTAGAATTGGTACCGCAAGAAGTACCCGCCTGCGCCTTAAGTCATATGACCTGAGGCGGCAGACGATCGATTTTAGCAGACTCTGATAGGGCAAAATGGAACTCCATCGGTTAAAATTTTGATCATTCTCGTTCAGTGGATTTCGTGCTAGCTCCCCTACTATAAGTATTCAATCGAATTATAATAAGTATTCGTAATAGATTCTTCAGCACTGTCTGACAATTGAGTACTTACACACTCAAATATAACTGTCAAAGTCAACGAAATCACCATTCAAATGGGACTTCCGGATTCTCGATGACGCGTCTCTCTGAAGTTACGAGGCAACCTACTCTCTCTACTAACCTTGGCATGCACTCCTATCTTCGCATTAAAAAAAATTCACTGTGCGCTACTGCTATCCCCATAGCAGGAACAACAAGAAATAGTGTCTGATTTTAATGGAAAAATTGAAAAATTTGTCATTGCTTGCTTTTTGTTCGTCAATTCGCCCGTTCGGACCATTTCTGCTGTTTTGAATCACTAATAGTGCAATAGTGCTAGTTCTGAAATGTTTGGCAATAGGTAGTCTGCTTAATGGTGTGCCAGACGGCCTTTAAATTTTGTTGTCTTAAAAGGTCTCCCCTGATTATTTCCCGAGATGCGACGATCTATTTGTGTGGAGCTTGTATACACATGCCTATGTGGTGCCAAGTGCAACTGTGGAAATTGTGTTCTATCATTCATGGTATTTTCATGGTATCCCCTACTTCATATCGAGATCGAGATCTAAAAACTAGTTTTTTCTTTCAATGTATATTTTGATGTTCGCTAACGGTACAATGCGGAAATCTTGTGATTTAGAACGGAATCTTTTCTACTCTTGCGCCTCAACGCAAACTCTTTTGTAACTTCTCCTTAATTTTTCACCAACTGTAAAACCGCCCCGCACAGAACCTACGGGTGATTGATTTAAACTCTTTTAACCGAGCGACGCGAATGATCTCATGGTATCATGCCTTATGGACCACGGCTGCCTTTGAACGACCTGATTCCCACTTCCTTAAACTTTTGAAACCTTCTAACCTACTCCAGCAGTAGAATTCATTTCTGACAGCCAATCAAACCTCCAGAAACCCAAAATTGCCTTATTTCCCCTAAAATCAGCAAAAACTCAACACCCTGATAACTAATGGATCTGGCCCAGCAGGATTGTCACGTAATTTTAGTTAATTTCGTCTTTAGTCGCGACTCCCTGGCACCGCAAATTTTCGTACGCATTTAACTGAACAGGGCCGTATTCGCAAACCTTCGCCTAAAAATTTTTGACGATACTGCCCTATATGACACTATTCTGTATATTTTGCATAACCCAATTCCAAAAAACCGCCCAACCCCATGACAATTCGATTTCAGGTTTACATCGGAGCAAACGGTTTCTGCTACTAAAATCAAATTAAATTCTAGCTCAGGCCCATTTTTACTTTAGCAAACCGTGCTTTAATGTGAAGAATGGCATAGAGTTTCTAGAGTTTCCTATCCCTCCCACAATACCTTAGGTCGTTTTAGATTAACAATTATTTGTTTTCTAGTCCCTTTCCATGGCCTAGCGGACACTGTCAAGGGTGAAAACCGTTCCTGTCGTACGCTGTTGCCGGGTTTACAAACATTTAAAGAAAACTCAGTCAAGATATTCTTCATACGTCATTTGAGCCTTCTCGTTGTCCTCCAGAACGGGAGCGAATTTAGAGTGAAGCGTCTCAAATTTAGGTCGATGCGAAGGGGCTTTCCAATTTCTCCCGAAGTTACCAGTCACCGAAAAGCGAATGGTTATTTAAAAACTAACGGGCCATCGAAAATGAGTGGGGGTCGAGTCGGGAAGTACGATTCCCATGTAAACACAAATTCCAGAGGTGACTCGACTGCAACTCATTTTAGATCGCATATGTGGCACAACTTGATAAGTGCCGACAGAAGAGACTACTTACCGTTTAAGTTGAAGAGTCCCTCTCGCCTCAAATTTCCGCGTATACCTTGAATGTGTACCAGACGGCCATCAAATTTCGCTGTCTAAAAGGAGCCCCCCCCCCACGAATTATTTTCTGAGATGCTGTTTTTGAAAGTAAATCGTGCATAACTTTTACATACGACAACCAATTGGTCTCAGTTCTTGCATACGCATGCTTTAGTGGTGCCAAGTTAAACTTTAGGAAATGGGGGGGGGGGGATGTTCTACCCTTCATGGTATTCTAATGAAAGGTCTCATCGCAATAAATTGGTTTGTACACACTATAAGTTTCCCGCGCGACTCTTTTTCGAGATCAGTAAACGACGCGGTCGGAGGGGGGGGGAGATAAAAATTAATGTTATCTCTCATTGTATTCTAATTAAAGGTCTCAGCGAAAACCCTTCTTTCTGTCCTCTTATCAAAGTACGGGGAGGAGGGGGGGGGGGCTCTTATCGTGATCGGGTATATTCCCTTATACCTCATTAACGGATTGTCGGAAGAGGGTGCACACAAAGGGCGATTGAGACGTCTGCAAGAAATATATCCATTGGTAATGTCAAAACAAAAGCTATTTCGGTTAAAAAAAACCGCTTTATCTGCACAAGAGTTGTGCACAATTTATACTTGTTTTCCTATATTTCGTGGTGAGATTGTAGTCGTCAGCTTCAACATTATGGATTTCTACAGCCTTTCGCTGCGATCGTAGTGGTAGAAATAAATTACGGCTCGTCTCGACCCAGTTGAGACTTGCGGTTAATATACAGCAGTGGACGAGACGATTACTCGGTGGAGATCGACTAAGAAATGACTGCAGATGATCGTTTCGATTACCGTGAACGTCCGTGTACGTATGATACAGTTTATATGGGGACTTCAGGTCTCCAAAAAGCGACGACAATTGTGTGGTCGGTCCGACTCCAAAGGCAACTCGTGTACGGGAACCCATAGGCCGCTGTTACACGGGGATACTGTATGCGAGATACAGCCTGTCGTCAGAATTTATGTCAAATAGACTTCGCAAATTTCATTCTAAACTATTATTTCGCAGTGAGAGACCTAAATTTAGTCGCCGATAAGACGCAATGTTACACCTGTATTCGAGATGCCAGTCTCCGGGAGACTGTATTCCCATGTAAAGGCGGTCTTATGGAGCCGTTCACAGATGCATATTTCCCCCATACAGTATCGGCGACTAAATTTCGGCCTTTCTCTAGTCCCAGTCGTCCGGCGATTTTACGACTTTAGAGACCGATGGGCTGTTGAGTTATGTGGAACTGTTTACACTTGGATACTTTTCATTAATACTGAAAATACTTAACCAAAAAAATATCTCAATGCTCAAATTTTACGAGGTGTGTTGGGCACGAATTCTGACGACATACTGTATCTTAGATACAGACATACAGTATCCCTCATACAGTATCCCCGTGTAAAAGAGGTGCACGTGCTGAAGCTTTTTGAATGACTTATTCTTATTGATCGGTGCGCATTACATGTTTTGGGCGAGAATAAAATCTTTGCATGCACAGGATATAGTCATGCGTAACGCTCGGCAGCCGAAGGCGAGCGGGCCTGCCTTACAATTGTGTAAAGCGCATTTGTACATTTGAAAGGAAATATGGCAATAGAACCGTCGATATGTTTTTGAAATTGACTAATATACACATTTAAAGCGTATGCTGTAGCTGCCGAGTAAATAAAATAAATTTAAAATCAATGTTAATTATACCTATTAGTTCGTCGCGATATTTAATAGGACGTAGCGTAGCGCAACTGCCACATAGCCGCTCCTCGATTATGATGACGCGGGTTCGAACCCCCTCAGAACGCGATTTTTTTTAAATAATAGATCGCGACTAAAAGAAAGAAGCGAGGGACTGTGAGAGAGAAAGAAGTTGACATTTTCTGTCGGCGCTTATCTTGAAAATTAATTTATTCATGTTTCTACGCGACAACGTATATATTCTCTTCTCTTGATAAAAGTAGTAAAATTACTGTTTTTTATACTACCTACGACGCTAAGTAATCCCATTCATTTGCAGCCGCCCATGTCCGAATCAAGAAAAAAGGTTATCAACGAAGCCTTTCAGAAAATGGATAAGACCCAAGATGGCGAAATTACTATAGACGATCTTAGAAATGTGTACAATATTAAACACAATCCTAGGTATATCTCTGGAGAGGAAACTGAAGAGCAAATACTTACAAAATTCCTAGCCAATTTTGAAGATGAGTCCACGAAAGATGGCCATGTAAGCTCTTCTTCTCAACTTCTCAATAATTATCTATTTGTTTGTAGGTAACACTGGAAGAATTTTTAAACTACTATAGCGGAATAAGTGCGTCAATCGACAGTGATGGCTACTTTGACTTAATGATGCGACAGTCGTACAAATTGTAAAGAGATGTACACTAACAACCCTTTAGCTTTTCTAACCCTTTACAATGTAGGTGTATGACCTATATCCCAATTCAAGTATTACTTACTGTTCGTTCACTACTGTGATTTCGCTTATTTCTAATTTGTGATATCAATTGAAGGTTTACATTGGTCAAATGTTAGGTAGCACGTGATATATGTATTATAATGATCCAATTACACATACCTATAGAAAATGTTTAAAAAATGATTAAAGCTTACCTATTAAAGCGCTAAAATTTTTAGATATTTGTTTGCTTATTTGTTTAGTAACGCAAATGCTGTTTGCTGTAATTGATTCATTGTTTGCCAAAGAATGAAAGAAACATTAATAAAACGCTAAGTAGATACTATTAGAATCGAGCTAATTGTATACTGCTACAAAAACACCTATAACTAACACAAAACACTTATTTAATATCACACAGAAGTGCAACGCCCCTTAACGTCCAATGCTGGGGAGGTTTCAGCGTTACCAACCATAACGGAGTTATAAAGTTCAAATCTGTTCGTCTTGGTTTCTTGTAAACGGGACACTGTATCAAAAACAGTATACAATTGCTTATAAATGTCGATGTTGCACCTACCTTGTATAAAGCTGGATCCTTAGGTGAAGTTGAGAAAATGGCAAAGACATGTATAACGGGCATTAGCGTGTATAAGACCTTATTGATAGATTCCCCCAAACGACAATTTTTTCTATCCCATCCGGCTCCGTCCATGTAGAGACCGTGAATGTAGACTCCCTCCTAAAATACGAAGGTGACCAACGAATTTCCGATGCACACCTACCGCAGGGCCGGATTTCACTTCCTCACAAGAGGACTTAGTGACTGTGTTGTGCAAGACCACCTGATCTAAAGCCCAACCCTTGTGCGCTCTGGTTACCTCCTGAGTCATTGCCGTTAAGAAACCTTGGGGATTAAAGAAGCCCGTCATCCAAAACACTGGAGGTTTCGTTACGAAACACCAGCTTCTGAATTGGGCATTCCTTTCCAGAAGTTCAGTGAACCAAAATCCAATCGAACTGGATAACCAAGAACCTCTGCGCCAAACCATCGGTACCATTGCGTCGTAAATCATGTCTAGAGCATCTCTAAGGGACTGTACGGTTGCGGGTATTATATTAATTCCAATATGCGTTGATAACACAAACCTCATTCATTATGATGGTACCCTCGATCGCTAACAGTAGGTCTCTCAAAGTAATTCGTACAAGTTTAATGACCCGTTGCATTCTGTCAATCTCCTGGCGTAGGAAGATATTTAATGGTTTTAAGATCCCCATAATCCGTAACCGCTCTTTAACTTCGTAAGGATCGTAATCGGATGGCACCTTTGCGAGCATTTCCGTTGCTTGTCTTGCCACCGAAGACTCTCGCGATTCCCCGCCTCCTCCAGACGATTTTGGTTGAATCGACAAAATCGTCTGAAGCATGGTCGTAGTTACATTGGTTTGGTACCTAAGCAAATAAGGCTGTGTATTCATAAAATCAAATGTGGTGCTACGTTATATCGGCATTGGGATGCAATCCGTAAGCTTGCGGAGGATCGGTCGGACGCATATCCTCAAACGCTTTGAAGTAGTCGGCAAGTTGCTTGAACCTAAAAATTTTATATCCTCTGTAAAAACAGAAGTCTTCATTGAACATCCCATCGGTAAACCACACTTGAGCAAAAGTGTTCAGTAGAATCTTGTCATAGTCGTCGGTCACTCTACCTCCATATTGCACCTCTCCAATCATATACCTAGGACAACGATTACCTTCGGATTTAATTCAAAGATTTTTACCTAATGGTGCTCCAGCTGGGGCCCTTTAAGGGATCGACATCGTCGAGATGATTTTGACAAAACATGCAACTGGCGAGCCAATCGGCGGAGTTAAACTCGTAAGGTATATTCCATCCTAACGGTCCAAACTTGCGACGTTCCTGCACAACGGTGTGCAGAAAGGAGATTGCGTAAATGAGGGGAAGATACTGCCATTGGTCGTTTTTGTCCAGCATGTCTTGGTTCATGGATCCATACGTGCGCATGAGACCAGCACGAATGCCAGACGGCGGTTCATTTGTGAATTTAATGCAAATTTGCAGCAAGCTGATCGGGAATTTCGGATGCACCTCAGTGGTGAGCCACAGTCTAAAATCGGGGTGAGCTCCGGCGCCCCCCTTTTTTTCCAGTTCAAGGAAGATGAGTAAAATTTCCATCATATACTCCAATCCTAAGTGGCAGTTTTGTAGTAACGCCCAGTAGCCCTCACTCATGGCGTGTGCCAAAAGCTTCCTAGCGTGTATCTCCTGACCTTGTCCCATCGACATACATTTGGTCATATTTTCCATTCTCTTCGACAACTGTTCAATGTAAGGAGTTGGATCTGCGCCGGTTGTTAAGAAACAAATGAGCGGGGTCGAGGGTCGGCTTTCCGAGTGGAGAGCTTCCATATTTAGTATTATCGGTTCGGCAAAACGCTGTCCCATCGACGCGGCTATATATTTGCGACTTTGAGTTAAAGTACGATCGGAACACCACGCGCGGATCATTAACAATTTTTTAAAGGGATCCAAAGAAAGGTAACCATCCGGAATCGGAGAATCTTCCGGCGCATCCTTGTCGAACCACGCCTTCCAAGACCGCTCGTTGTTTTCCACCTGGGTCAAAATGTTTTGAAATTGGTACAATTTTGCGAGTTCCACGAGATTAAGCCAGGTTGTATCTGTGATCCATTTCGCCGGCTTTGGAGGACAAGCATTTAGATCTAAAGCAGCACCTCCCTTAATCAAATACTGAAACTCTTCGTGAGTGACATAATTGCGATTCATATCTACTTTAAGTGTCAGAAGGAGCACAAACATGTACTTATCCACTTCGTATAAACCTCGCGATTTGTATTTGTAAATCTCATACGTCATGTATTCAATGATGAAGTTAATGCGTCTAGATGTGATCGGAGTTTTTTCTGAACGGTGCATCGATATATCAAATCTTTCTAAGAACTGCTCCAGGGAAGTTTGGTACATACAGTTTACCATTGCCATGCTTGTGGTCAAAAAGTATAAGACACTTCCGCGTCTAGCAACAGCTCGGAATTCTTCCCTAGCTGCATTGATTTTCGTCTCAGTCTCCTTAGCAACGTTCAGCTTCTCGCGCACGTCTGCGGCGGTGTTTTGGGTCACGTTCAGCACCTCCAAGACGGATTCATCATCAACTAACGAACCCTGAGTTGTCGTTAACTTATACAACAGGTTAGCCTCCAGTTCCAGCATTTTCCTCTTGTTCGCAGTCACGTCCTTAATCAAGTTCGTTCGTTCGGTTTCCAGTTCCCTCTTTTCCGTCAGTATCACCCTTCCCAATAACTGGTCTTCGAGACCTTTCATTGTAACGGTAAAGTCGATGATCGACGCTCTCGCGTAAATTTCGGGACTGTAATTGGGATTCGCCAGTTTTGTAGTGATATAAAGCCGGAAGCTCGGATGATAATCAACTTCTTTGTCTCCAACCTTGACCTTGTAGCTCGAGCCTACTTTAATGTGATTTTTCTCCATCACGTTATCCAACACAGGATCGAGCTCCTCCAATACGTCCTCGATTAGCATTGGATAACCTAGCGAGACCGAATCCTCTATGTAGTTCCTATGAAATTAATGTGTGAGCATTAAATATAGATTTTCAAATAGTTTCCAACTCCAAGATAGATAGAGGTAGAAAAAGTCTTATACAAACTATGGGCGACGTGATCTATTGAAAGAAAATGATAGATACTGTACCTGAAATACTTATCGTTTAGTGTGGTAACAATTAAGTGGTTGTCTTTTTCCATATTCTTTACCCAATTCTTTCCTTGACTCTGCGGATCTATTAACAAAGGATATCTCGCCGCTCGTGTAACGATAATTCCATTTTGAATAGACAGATCGTCCGTTGGCAAACCTTGCAAGTTCCATTCGCCAATCTGCAAGAAACCATTTGAAATCCTATACGCCCAATTAGTCCCTTACCGTCGCTGTATCGATTAAAGCATCCGTAATGTTAATGTCGTTTGAGACCGGTATTTTCAGATTGAGAAGTGCGTTGAGCCAGACCTGCTGCTGAAGTACCCTAAACTCTTGATTGAACGGACCCGAGTAACTGAGGAATCCGACGAGAATGACGATGTCACCGATCAGCCTTTCGGTTTCGGCTTTGAAAAGTGCCGATTGATTTGTCCAACGCACCCTTTCGCCACTCAAACCGTCGATTAGCGCACTGGCTTGGTTCATTTTATTTTTACATCGATTCGCGTCGTCCATCACGGCCTAAAAGAACAGTTCAGTGTCATAATGCAGTTTAATTTAATAGAATTATTTCAATCTTTGCTGTGTGACATCTTTTCCGCCTTCAAATTACGTGTGGATCGTTGGAGTAGCAATGACACATTGGCGTAGAGGAGATTTCAAATTGTTTTTAGCAGTGCCGAGCCCGAGGTTTCGGGGCAGTAGAGGTGGCAGAACTCGAGGGTTTTGGCAAATTGCTTAGATGCATAGTAGAGAATATTCACACCCATTGTGGACGTATTTGTTGAAAAATAATATCGTGGGGTTGCGTCCGTTGAAGGTTTCTTGGGACATATTAAGCGTCAAGCCACGAAAGCGCGACCATAAAGAAGAAAAATTACGCTTAAACGGTCAATTAGTTGGAAGCCACGATCAAGCGCGAGTAAAACCGAGAATGTCGCCCTAAGTTTGTACGAAGTGATTTCCTGTTGAGTGGAGTGAACAAATTCAAACTAACCCCTGGGGTGCTATTCTTGACCTCACTCGAATTGGTTCGTATTCGTTTTAAAACGAAGTATGAAAATTCGCATACGACTATCATTTGCTATTCATGTGTACCCTTCGTAACGCTTGTAATTTCAATTCGAATGATATGTTTGGCAACGTAGAATTTGGTAGCAGTAAATACCTTCATACGAAAGGTTTTCTTGACAACAGTTTGTATACACAACTGCTTTCTTATAACTGAGCAAATTACAAAAAGTGCTTATGGGCCCCACAGACTTCCGACTGTTGTCGGTTGTTGGTACCTATGTCGAACAAGTACGACAGACTCCATACACCTCGTGTTTGTTCGATCGGAAGGCAAAAAGTCGGATGTTGATATTTTACACGACGTCCGATTTTACCCATGCACTTCCGATTTCTTTGTCCGATCGTGTCAACTGAGTTACACGTCGTGCAAATCGGACGAACAAGTCGGTCTTCTGTGAGGCCCTTAACAGTGAGTTGCGAACAGTGGAATTTGTAATATCTACGAAATTTGGTCGCTTCCAAAAAATCGTACAGCAACCAAAACCCTCGCCAAAACTTTCACAAGAATGACTATGCGTAAGTATGTAGCTGTAAGGCCAGCCAGACCAGACCAAGAGACTTGTCTTAAGACATGCAAGTGCGTTAATTAACATTAACGTGCATGTGAGAGTTTCAGCCACAGATGGACGTTGTTGTAGGCGTTCGTTAACTCACGTGCAATGTCTCTTGGTGTGTTGTTTCGTTAAATGAAATATGTTCATCACTCAATTCCTCAAATGGATTTTTAAACATATTCTGAATACGGTCGACAAGTTACGTCAAGGTAAAAAAAATGGCACATGTCATAAATTCGACTGGTTTATACCGCTCGTTGTAAAAACGAATGACATTTACGAATTCGAAATATTTTCGAACGGTCAAGAATACCATTCGACCAAAGTGCATCGTTTTGGTTCAAAAAACGAATAACCTTGATAAATACGTAGGGTCAAGAATAGGACCCCTGGGAAGTTACACAGGGGATTACGACTGGAAAGTTTCATTATCGAGTGCGGGTTCTGGCGTGAATACATTTCGGTTTAGTAAGCTTAGGGGTCTTTAGAATCGGTATTCCAGCTACGTGCAAAAAAGAGGGAACTCGTTCTCTACTTGGGGTTTTTAAGAACTCCTTTGTCAATCAGATATTAATAAAACCCATAGAGAGCGTTTAAAAAAGCGGCAGAGCACCTCGGTGTGACCCCACGAAGTCATTGGATTTGACCCATTTTCAATAGACTTGTTACATATGGTATATAAGTCTACTGTGCAAAGTTTCAACCAAATAGGTTCAAGCGTTTGGCAGGGACAGAGAATCGTAACCCCACGGGGTCATTGGATTTGACCCATTTTCAATAGGCTTATTACTTGTAGTATATAAGTCAACCGTGCAAAGTATTTGAACCAAATCGGTCCAAGCGTTTGATAGTTATCGTGTTCACGGACAGACGGACACCATCGACTCCCGTATAAAGCTTGCATCGCTTTGCTCTGCCGCTTAATAAAGTAACCTTAAGGATATGGTCGTTGTTTTTTAAAGTACAAAGGAGTTTTCTTATATTGACACCTTTTCATAAATAAATCAATAATTTTAAAACCCACTACTATTTTATGCATTAAAACGGAAAACAAGAAAAACTAAATTGTATGTGAATTTTTGTATTAACCCATTTAGAAAAAGTAATTGTTCGTTTTGTTTGATTATAAAATTGATTAAAAGGATTTCTAACTGCGTTGAAGGATTAGATTTTAAGGTTATAATGGAGTATTATATATTATAGCAAATGGGAAACTAAATTTGGTTCAAATAAAAGGAAAGTGGCTACTTAACAAAAGAGCAGCTTTAGTACAAGTATTTGCTTTTTGCTATTTGGAGATTTGTATTGATTTTCAATCAGGCGAGTTCAATCAGAGAGTCTAACGGGTTTAGATACTACAAGGGTTGAAGACCACACTTGCAAAGAATAAAATTGAACCTGTGGAGACCACTGGCAAAAAATTTAAAATAACAATTAATTTTTAATTTGCCCTCGGCTAGCTCAGTATAACAAATATCCGCTTTGATTGATTTTTTTATCTCCTCTTAAAATTTTAAATTCAAAACCTAATGCTCAGGTTTGTTTGAACTCTAAAACATACCTACGTGTAGGACTTTAATTGATTGAATATATTAAGAAAAACAAAGGCAATCAAATTCCATTTTTCTGTACACGTGGATGGATTTAAAATAATTGTTCGACTTGCTAATTCAACCAAGAATCGCCCGCTCTCCCACTTCTCTCGCTATTTAAATCTGGCCTCGACTGACGTGCATTTGCGTCACGTGTTCGGCTTTAAACATAACGGAACGAAACTCAAAGGTTCGAAGAAATCGTGGCAACTGCGCTCGCTTGTCCCAATAAGGTCCTTTTTATCGCCAAACATACTTTCGTTTACGTTGGCTATGAAGCGGTGCATACAAATTCAAAAAAAATACTTTTGATATTCTAAAGCGACCACCCATTACAAGGGGCGACATGTTAAAAATTCAGGTAAAAGAGAAAAGTAACTTCCATTCTCCTTTGGTGGTATTTGCAATCACGTTTAATAATCGTAAGCTAGTCGGCGGAAAAAATTCTTTTTGTGAAAATTTGGTATTATTCCAAATTGAACAAATTTAATCGTATGAATACCAGATGTAACTGCCGTTACAAGGTGTTATTTTGTATTGTTGAATAGGAGATCCGACATGTTTAAACAAATGCACCGGATTGGTGCAAATCAATATGAAAACCCAGGTAATGAAGTCATTGCCTTGGAAACAATTGTGGCAATCGATGCGTACACTGTTAAGAGTGTATATAATAGGAAAAAAAGAAAAAAAAAAAAATAATTGTGACAATAATGTTATTGTAACCATAGCAAAATATACCAATTCGCTTAAACCAATAGAAAACAAGTTAAAAAGTAATCGTAAACGATTTACAAAAAGCGCATTTCCCATTTGTAAGATGCAACTTCTGTTAAAATCGTAAAAATCCGGCCACAAATATGAAAGATAGCGTTGCAAATGTGCAATTCATTTTTCACGTGCTACTTCAATTTCAGTTTATAAGAAGAATTTCATTTCAATGCTTTTCTAAATAACAAAGTTGGAACTGCGCATGCACAAATCTAAATTTTGAAAATAACGTTAGATTTGCCTTTGTTCCAAGCGCGTATGTTTCAAATTTCATGTAAATGCTTCCATAAATAAAAAAGTTGGCACTGCGCATGCGCAAAACCAAATTTTGAAACTGGCGTTAGATTTTCATTTATTCCAAGTGCCTATGTATCAATTTCATTCAAATACTTTTATAAATAAAAAAATTTGCCATTCGGTTTATAAATGGTCGAGATGCGAAAAGGGCACTGTGAATTTTGAATCGATTCGACTCAACTTTTGCCATTGCGTATTATACGTATGGCTAAATCTATGCCCATATTGGATTTCATGCAATTCAGTTCATAACTAATGGGGAGTCAACGCGATCAGACATTTCTAAACAAAGTTATCGTTCACACGGGCAGATAGAGGGACAGACAGACAAAGGAACAGACGGACAGACCAACAGATAGACGACAGATAGCAATACAAAATTATAAACGTCTCTAGGATCGTTAATAAACGGCAAAAGTGTAAAATTATGGAACATGTAAAAAACGGTTTGTTGGTTTTTTTTACAATAACTATTTTAGCAATAAATGCAGAAAAAATTCCTTCCTTGGTGTAAGCCTCGACACCATAACGAACCAAATAGCGAAAAAAGTAGAACAATAACTCTTAAGATAAAGAACTAGGAGCGTCTCAACGAACGAGCGAACGGACGGACGGACAAAGTGGCCACAATAGCGCATTTTTATTTTACTTTTGTGGAAATGCGCTAAAAACATGACATGACAATAAATAAATAAATAAATAAATACATAAATAAATAAATAAATAAATAAATAAATAAATAAATAAATAAATAAATAAATAAATAAATAAATAAATAAATAAATAAAAATAAATAAATAAATAAATAAATAAATAAATAAATAAATAAATAAATAAATAAATAAATAAATAAATAAATAAATAAAAGGAGATAACGATACGCGCGGGATTGCACGTAAAATTTGTGTCGAAGCTGCTGGATGGCTTTAGTGTGTAATTCATAAATTTGAATCGAATTAGTAAGTTAAATCGACCAGTCATAGAAACCATTGGGAATATTCACCTGTGTAGCACATAGTGGTTTGTATTTAAAAAGAAATGTTTGGGTCCATAAAAGAGAAACTTCCATTGACCATAATAGTATAAGTGTAAGGTGACTAATATGAAGAAAATTTTATACTTGTACCGCTTCATAATGAAAGAGAACAGAACTATACTATGCGATCAAAATGAGTTGCTGTCGAGTTACCTTTGGAATTTTTGTTTACATGAGAATTCGTATTTAACTTGAACTTCCAAAGGCGACTCGACAGCAACTCATTTTTGATCGCCCGTTACCTATTTGAGAAAATGAAGCACGTTAGATAAGGGCGAGTGTTCAAGCAGATAAGAGGCGAAACGTTACAGTGCTGACGGTTCTAAAAATCGTCGCGATGGAGCATGAGAGAGATAGTCTCCGCTACATCTACCCATGTAGAAAAAAAAGCAGCTGATGCCGGGTTATCTGGAGAGTTGTTTCGGTTTTTCCGATCGGCGAATATACTTCGAGACAAAATTACGTTGCGTAAACGCGACAATTATAGATCGAATAACAATCGTTCTTCAATACTCAATATGAAGAGATTTGACAGCCGCGTAGTCGTACCTACGTGATATAGTATTGCAAAGGTTTTTCAACAGATTTGAAGTGAAAACCGCGCCGCAAGCTCCAGAAAAGCTGGGTGTATTTTAAATTCGTTATGATTTATTATGAGTTAACAAATAGAACGTGGTGGATTTCAGAAAAAAGGGAATATTGTGCAGCGTTACCGTATTAATACGTGAGCGAACTCTTTCGTTTCGGTGAATTATTGTATTTTTGCGCTCGCGTATGAAATAAGGTGTTCCCACGAAAGCGTTAGGGTTCAAGTTGCAAAACATTGGATTGCGGTAGAATTGTAGTGGCAAGTTGCGTAAAAAATCAGTTTATTAATTAAAGTTGCGCACCTAATTTGATTATACAAGGTGTTATTAACATTATGAATAAAACGGCAACCGGTAAAAAGGTTAAAGACAATTAATTTGCGTTTTTGTTGACTGTCAAAACCCTTACGCCCGGTTGCAAGAAAGCGAATTATAATCGAAATCCAAGATTATTTGCCAAATCCGAGATTAAACAAAAATTTTAGTTGCATGATCAAGTATTGGATTAAACTAATCTTGATTATTCTAATCTAAGTTTATTCCTACTATAATCCCTGATTACGTTGGTTTTGGGTTGCATGAAGCTGTAATCCTACATTTGTCATTGATTAAATCAAAATTATTCTAATTCGTCAAATCGGAGAATTAAACTGGAATTATAACGACAGAACTAGGGAATGCAATCCCGCGGCAAAATTTTGATCCCGGTATTTGCGGGATCGTTTATGTTAATCCCGAGGGATCCCGCAAAATTTTAAATGTATTGGGAAATATGCAATTTTGTGCGGATTAACCGAATATTCTCCAACAAAACATATCGTATTTCCCGGAAAGGATGCGTCACATCCGCTTTCGGCCTCCACGTTTATCTGGATTTCTAGAATATTCACTACAATTAATACAGCCATACTGTACTACTAAAGTTTTTATTTTGTCATTGTCATTTTACATAGTTAAACAAGGATAGACAAAAATGACGTCATTACAAGACTGTAAAATTCCGAGTATAAGTACTCGCTAAATATTGCGCTCACGTTTAGACTGCATTTCTTCTATGGGTTTTCTGTTGAGTCACGCTTTGGATTTACTGTGGAGAATATATCAAATGGGGGAAGTTACTAACGCGACGGTTCTACGTTTGGCACAGCTGCAGGCGCAATCTGTGGAAAATAACCGAGAATTCTCACTTTGCCTGAATCTTTAGGCATTTCGCGAAATCCCTAAAGAGAGGCAGGCGAAGTGCGAAGTCGAGTTCCATTTCTCACTTTGCCTGCTGCATTGGTCATTTCGCAAAATGCCTAGGGATTTTGCAAAATGCCGGATTTCGCAGTTTGCCGGTAACATATATACCACGGTAGAGAAGTCTATTATTGCCTTCGCACCTTACACCCCGAGGCGCTTGCCTCGAGATGTAATCTTGGTGCTCAGGCAATAATACTGTACTTCTCTACCTTGATATATAATGCAGTATTGTACTGATGATTAAAATTCATTACTAAGTGCTAAAGGCCTTAGTGACCTCCACTGATCTAGTCTGAGAGTGCATCTGCAACATAAAGCAGGTGGCATTACAAAACGGCGTTACTTTATGGTGGGTTCGAGGGCATTCGGGTATTGCAACCAACATAAAGGCAAAACTAACTCCAAAGTTTACGAGTATACCAAAATATCCACAGCCTTGTTGTAACATACAAAAAAGTCACGTAAAGCAAGTCTTCTACCCTAGCATGCAACCTGACCAGCGAGAAGTTATGCGATTTATCAAAGCGTTGCTGGAGACGAGGTTACACATCTTTCGACTCTTACACAGGACATGTTCTGCAATCATCTACAGTAGATGGATTTAGCTGCCCTATGTATAAGGCTTCGGTAAGGACAAATTAACTCCTTACAAAATAGGGAAAGAGAACCTCAAAATAGTTATTATAATACAACTTGGAGATTACCAAAGTGCTTGGGAAGTAGTGTACCTGTTTTAATCGCATGGCTTCATCGTACTCATCCTGACACTGCTTCACTTCCGCTTCTTTCTTTTCCAAAAGATCCATCGCAGCATTAAGCTCACCGGTGGCTTTGTCCAACCTTGCTTGTTGTCTTGCTAAATTCGCCTAGCAAATATTTTTAAGTAAAATTACCTCTATGTTCATCTAGATTACCTTTAAAGGCAGGACATCTTTGTTAACATCGTAAAACGAGGCCATGGCGATAGTCCACGAAATCAAACCGGCCACGTTACCGCAAGCCAATTTTGCGCTTTCAAACGTGTAGGTCGGAAAATCAAAGTACGGTGCCAGCAAGTCTATTATTTCAGCATTGATCGTGTCTTTGGGATAGTTTTGTAGGTTAAACAAAAATTTGGAGTCTGCCATGACCTACGATATACTCATTGTAATACGTTCTTTGGACAACACGTAGCCCACTTTCAAAGATTCCTGCCAGGAAGTCACAAGAAACGATTTTTCTAGGTCTACTTTAGTAGGCTCAATTTTTTTCTTGAAGTAAATTAACACTGCGTCCATAATTACCATAATCAAAAAGGGGGGCTTTCCCAGTTTTCTGACGGTTGAAATATCAGCCGCTTTAATCGTCTACGATAACAATTTTATTTCGTGGACTTTACACCTGCCTATACCTGGAGAGCAGTTTCGGCTGCTTCCAAAGCGGGTTTAGCGGCGATCAGTTTCTTCTCGGCATTTTTCTGATCTTTACCAATTTTCTTGACGAGTACTTCGGCGCGCTCTTTGACAATGAGAGCCTCTTCCTTTATTTTGTTGGCAATTGCCGAAGCCTTTTCGACGACTGCCAATACTTTTTCGGCGGCGGCGTTTGCTACCGCGATTTCTTGTTCCTTAACTTCTAGTTCCTTACGCAGGATGTCGACGCTTTCCGCCGCCTCGATTAGTTTAGTCAGACCAGTTCTCATTCTTTCCGCCAGTACTGCTATTCCGTCATGTTTGTCTTTGTATAATACTTTGTAACTGCCCAAGAAGGACAGAAACGTCTTGGGCGTCACAAACGTCTGTCTGCGAAACCTGAAATATGTCTTGCTTGTGAGAAGCCTAACCAACTGGGAGATTTCTCACCTTTCAAAGTAAGCGACGCACATTTCCGTGACGGTTTCTTGTATTGTGGCCATAATACGAATAAGACCAGATTTGATTTCGCTAGTTGAAACGGTATAGTAGTTACTGAGGAAGTGGTTAGAGACGGCAACAAGTGCGTCTATCGGCCAACGGGAATACCAATCCATTGTGCATCCTGATATCAAACCTGGAAATTTCAAAGCGCGATTTCGAAACTTTTCACCCACCTACGAAAATCTTTTAGAGAAAATATTTCACCGCTTTTTTTACCGGTGAAAAACATAACACAACGTGTAAGTTGGAACGAGCTCGGCTTATGAAAAAATCATACAACACATCGTTAGTTGGCACTTTCTTTGGCGCCACCTTCTTCATTACACCGATCAACTCAGTTGTGATTTCATCAAGTTCGTCTTTGGGAAAAAGATTCGCGATCTCACCAGAGCTCAAAACGTTGTTTAAAGACTCCAAAAAAGTCTCTTCTTTAATATCATTGTCTGTGAACACAAAGGTAATGCCTCGACCTTCAAAACCGGAAACCTTATAAAGGTATTTCATGTCGTCCATGAAGTTATTCAAATTGTACGACCTAAAATGATGGTGCAATAAACACGTTTGGAAATGAAGCCTTACCTTGTCAGTGAAATTTGGAAGCTCGAGTATCCGGCGATAAACGAGGCCAGTTTGGTCAAGCTTTGCTTGCCGGAACCGCCGACGCCCACCAAAAGCGCATTTCCTCGCGCCGTTCTCACTATCCTGGATACAATGTTCAAATGAACCATCGCGTCGTGAAAGAACACCAAATCCATTGCGGAACCGCGTGTCGCCTCATTGTAGCTCTCCATGAAACCTATTGAACACTAACCTGGGGAAGTGCATATCGATTCGACACTTACTGTGCAGCTTTCCTTTGACAAACGACCAGCTGGGAATTTCTTCGTAAATTTTGGGAGCGTCAAAGACGAAATCGTCGGGCTCGTCTCCGGTCGCTTCGGGGGGCTCTCGTAAATAGTCGACCCAAAACGTCGGCTCCTCAGGAAACAAGGGAGCGTAGTCGTCAAGCTCTTTTATTGCCTGTCTCGTTAAGTTTTGCAAAAACCACTCTCTGTCTTCTTCGTTTATGAATCTGTGCACAATGATTTTTAAGGTGAGGAACGGATTGTTTGTTGATGGAAGTTAATCGTGGCATTTTGTGTGTGATTTGCAGTTAGCATTCATAACAATAACAAGAATAAAGCAACAACAATTGTAAATTATTACACAATATCTACAAGGACATATTCACTCACAGCGGTAAAAACTTGGTCGGCAGAATTTTTGCGGCTGGCAAACGACCGGAAACCTTTTTGGTCGTTTGTAATTTTGACTTGCCAGTTTTGGTTATGTGATCCTGTTTAGTCACGTTTTATTTTGGTTTTGTTTTGGTTTATTTGGCCTGCCTTGGTCTTTTTGCGAATTGTTGGTACTGGCTTTTCAATGTTGTATGTTTGTGCCTTTACGATTTTTTCAATTTCCTTTTGATTTTTATAGTTATTTAGATGCAACTAACTTTTACGAACCACCAATTTCAGTAATTATTTAGATGCAACTAATTGGTACGAATGTCCGGCGCAGATAAGTTTTGATAGGGAATGCAATCCCGCAGCAAAATCTCAATCCCGGTATTTGCGGGATTGTTAGATGTTAATCCCCCGGGATCCCGGTATTTGCGGGATAACGCAAAACTTTAAATAAATTGGCAAATAAGCAATTTTGTGCGGATAACTTCTGTATTAAAATAAATCGCTAATTATCACAATATTTAACAAAGAAGTACTTTCAGCCTAACTTAAGAGTTCAAAAAACCTCACCTGTAAAGCACAAAAAGGTGAACTTCTAAAGTGCCTCAAAAATCATAGTACATTTTTAAGGAAAAAGTTTAACAATTATTTAAAAAATAACTTCCCCGTTATCCGTTACCGTTTCATTAACAAAGTAAACAGAATCGTCCCCTTGGTCGACAAATTCCTCAGTCCCGCAAATCCCGCTGGATCCCGCTCCATTTATGTGCGGGATTAATCCCGCAAAAATGCTGCGGGATCCCGGTATTTCGGGATCCCGCGATCCTGGTATTGCATTCCCTAGTTTTGACATTCTCGCGATTAGCTAATCGACTCGCCCGTTCACAACGCTCGCTCGTCTCGTGACGCCGAAGAGCAATAGATTGCATTCTTTATATCCTAAAAGTACCTAACTACAATAAGGCTCTATTATATAACACGTAACGATGTCGTTACACAGCGATTATCGTTCGGAAACGATTTGCTCTATTTTGTCCGCTAAAATGGATTGTTTCGTAACGACAATCTGGCGGTAAATTTGTGATTATTTAACAAGCCCTAGCCGCTTGTTTAGTGATACCACAGATATATTCTTTATGTATATCTGTGGTGATACTGAATATAGCGCAGATCGGGTCGTTACAACAACGATATCGTTTGTTAACGACAATATACAGAATAGGCCCCTTAGTTTTATTTTGATCATGGTCTTTTTGAATATCAAAGATATATTTTTTGTATTTCTTGTGCGTTTGGTCAAGACCAGAACTAGGGACCCCTTCGGTCGCACCTAATAATTCGAGAAACTGCGCGTCAAACGGAAAGGTAAATAATACCACAACTGATCGGTATACTGACCTATCCGAAATTACTCTCGTACATTCGTGTTGCCAAAGTTTCAACAGCGACGTAATGGACTGACATTCCAAATCCTGCACGGTGAGAATGCCTTGCCAAATTCTAGATAAGTCTCTGAGATTAAACACATAGTGAAACTTGGCGGGGGTGGGTAGCATCTTCACTTTGGTTTGCGCCCATACGTGTCTAGTAAGAGGTATTAATCGTGGTAGAAAGTTGACTATTTCAGAATTAAAACGCGAACTGCAAAAGTAACCTCTACCAATTTGATCTAAAAGTTGAATGTTGAGAGAGATTTTGCGAAAAAGTGGTCGTGACTTACTAAAAATCATATCCATCGAATTAACGCTGGGCAATGTGCAGTTAAACACGCAGAACTGTCTCTTTAAGCGATGTGGAATGTCGTTACGTCCGCCACCCGGATGGATCATCGCAGCTAAGAAGAACGTGTCCATAATTGTCGAGAAATCTCCGGGTTTGTCTAAACTGTAAAAGCCTCCCATTTCCATCAACTGCCGCACAATCTCGTTGGTAATTTGATCGCCCCAATCGTTTATCACGGGCATATTGATGTCGTCAATAAAAATAGTTAGAGTTTTACCAGCGGGAGGCCCATAAGTGGTACCGACCCGTTTATCTACATATGACTCTATAATCCGTTGCACCATATTAGGGGTTGTTGCGGATGAAAAGTTAAACGACTTGCTAACTTTGTATTCGGGATCGAATGTATTTAAGAAACCTTTGATCATCACCGTTTTTGCGGTACCCTGTTCACCGATCAGCAGTACGGCTTTTCCCTGTTTGGCGATAGTCTCTATGAGAAAAGCAGTCCTAGTGTTATCTACATTTGGAACCAAAATAGACGTGTATTCTAAAATCTGATCCTCGGGATAACTAAAAGATTCTACTCTTTCTCGCCAGTGTTCCCATCGGCCACTGTCGGCGACAACGTACTCAAAAATGGATTCGTCGGTCATACATTTAGGCCAGTCCATCTTCACTGGCATTTTAACTGCGTATTGCTCTAATTTAGAGCGATCGTCTAATTCCAAAGCGGCGCCCAGGGACCACATCACTGAGAAGATGAAGAATCGTTCTAGATGTTTATCCGAGTACGTTCGCGGTATATCGTCCACAGTAGTCAATAACCCCTGAAGCATATCGCAACATTGCCTTATGTACAACGCCTCCCGAATCGCCATTTTTGGTTTCAGTTTAACCTGCAGGAAGTTATGCAGATCATCGTAGACCTTATTGAAGAAGTTTTTGAGAACTTCGGCTTCGCCAGGTTGTCGCGTTTTAAGCCACGCCTTAAAAAACCGCGATAGAAATATGAGAAACAACTGTTACCAGGAACCTCCAAAATGGGCATCCAAGGTAATACAGACGCGCTCATGAAAACCATGCCCATACGCGAGACCGTTGCCGGACTTGCGTTGTCAACGTTATCCGGCTCGAAAACTATTTTAGAATTAGCCGCCATTACTATTCTATCACCATTGGCCAAAGTCAACGTTTTATTGTCGTCTAACACTGAATTTAGGTTTTCAATCCACACGGCATCCACAGGGCCGTCCAAAACCAACCTGCAACATATACTTATTAAAGTCAATGGATCAGGTGCGCATTAAATTTACCAGGTGAAATCTGTTTTCTTCACCTTCAACGTTCGTCTCCAAAGGGTGGAGAATATGCCGTCGGTCCAATCGTTAGTGGCAACATCCAGACGGCCGAACATTTGGGGGGCGGTGATCGCCTAAAGTAAAAAAAACACATTGTACGATGACGGGAGTGAGGATGACATGAGCAAAGATCGCAAGGTGAAGGGGGTCAGCGGACACGGTCTCCATCACGAAGAAAGTATAAGACGTACTCTGACCTAGTGAAATGCGCGCGGGAAGCCCTAAGAGGGAAAAGAAAAAAATGTTCCGATGGTCGTCCATGAAACAAAGCAAGGTCCCCTAAGGATTGTGATAGACAAAAACAAGTGGGGGAGACTCGCATATTTCATAGTATATGGACGAAGATGATACCTACATACCATAGCCAAGAACCTGCACCTGGAGAATGGACAGCTGTTACCCATACCGAAGAGGTTGAATGCCAGGATGAATTACCTGAGCAGAGGAAAAATATCGGAGTGATCAAATACTCGAAGTGCTGGAAGGTGCACGATACCCGATACGTAACAAACAGGAAGAAACTGTGGTGACATACACCTATGGTTCGGCAGTACACCTTACATCAGAAGGAAAAAATACGAAACGCTCTGTATACAACAATTACAGATAGGAGTGATCTAATTAGCGCATTTTTTAAGAATTAAAAAAGATTTTATCTTTCATTGCATTCTAATTAAAGGTCTCAGGAACAGTTTTCTACAAACTACTGCCCTTCTTTCTGTCCTCTTATCAAAGTACGGGTAGAGGGGGAAGGGAGGGGGGAGTGGAACTAGTTTTATCCATCATGGTACTCTAATGAAACGTCTCAAGGAATTAATTTATACTAACTATAGTCTTCCTCCTCGATCCCTTGTCGTGATCGGTTATAATTACTTGTGTCTTAAGAGTGAATTGTCAAAGGAAAGTACCTACAAAGGGCGATTGGGACGTTTGGAAGAAATATAACCATTGGGCATTTAAATACAATTTGATACATAGCCACTTGGACTAAAACCAAATTTAACGCCAGTTTCAAAATTTCGTTTTGCGCATGCGCAGTGCCAGCTTTCTTATTTATGGAGAGATTTAAATGAAATTTGATACATAGCCACTTGAAATAAAAGCAAATGTAGTGCCATTTTCCAAATTTGGTTTCGTGTAGGATGTGCAGTGCCAACTTTCTTATTTATGGAAGAAATTTTGTAGGGGTGTTTTAAAAAAATGCGCTTTACCTGCAAGTTACAGACCATTTAACGCGAGGGCTCTGAATAGACTCCAAGGGGAACCCGTTAGGTCAAATTATCGCGAAATAATTGCTGTGCTGAATAGGAAAAGTGCGCCATAATTCCAAAGAAGTGGCAGAAGTTTCGTGACTGTAGTTATTTTCGCCAGCGAGGAGGTGTCCTATAATATAGGAGAATTGAAGGTTGAGAAGGAGGGGACATTAAGTGAAAACGAATACATCTTTTGGAACGTGAACCGAAAATCAAAAGTTCTGGAGGGAACAGATACACTGGATCGTAAATCGATGGAAAAAAGAAACGATTTCTAGGACACGCCAAAAATAAAGGAAACAATTCACCCAAAGCAGCACTGATGTCCTTAAAAACAGCGATTAAAAAACCAATAAAGGTCGGACATATAAAATCGTTACGAGAAAGCTAGAGAGAAGAAGAGAATCTGTCTACACAGTACCCAAACCGTATGCGCTTTACCCGTTGAAGACTAGGGAAACCAGTCAAGGGCTGGAAAACACATGATTAGAAGCACCCCACGTCACGTTCACGATGGGCAACCATGAATAAGAGGCACAGTTCCTAACGAGCTGGTAGTACCTACAGAGCTACATCAAATCGTACCACGACAAGTCAAAAGCGGGACATACCTACGGCAGCCAATGAGGTTACCCGAGCTGCCTCGCAAGGCAGCTTTCCCCCGTACGAACCAAGCTGCGAGAAAACGCGTTCTAGAATCTAGACTGTTGGATATGCGCCTCAGATCCTCGCACGTTACCCGATTTTCAAAAACAGTTCAAGTCGGTAACTTTGAATGTGGTACTAAAAAAATGGGGTTGTATGCACTGGACACCCACCATCACATCTACATCACACCAAGTCCGATTAACGGCAAAACCAGGAAACCAAGAAGGATTTGCAGACACTATTTTACCAGTAAAGGCCGATTCAGAGTTCCGCATCGGTATGAGGTACGAAACAAGAAATAAGCGGTAACGTAGCTCGTAAGAGGTAAGGGAAGACCGTAAAACAATTGCTACCTTGCACATGCGCGATTTGATTTTCTCGTTTGCGTCATATGTTGTCAAACTGACGTGCTTGTGGTTACTTACGTTTGAGATTGTAGCACCAAAGGTTATTTTGCTTTTGATCGACGTAGGTAAACGAATATGGATAGTGACGATATCATAATCATAGCGCTTCTAATGTTAATTCACCTTCAACACAAATGTTTAACGGTCAAATACCTTCTCATCTTAATAAAAAACATGTACACGGCAACACTGCGCGCAGCTGATCAGTCTTTTATACAGAGTGAGCAACAAAGATTGAAGCGTGCCGCTCATAGCATATGCTGATTTGATACAAGATACGAAATACGAATAGACGCACGTCACTGTGACAGCGCAGAACGTCATTTTCGTATACAACTCCATACAAAGAAGGTAGTTTTGATATTAATAGGAACAAGCGGTGATGACGCACGCTTCAATCATTGTTGCTCACACTGTACAAAACACGTGATAAACCGTTAACGAACTCGCACGATCCGTAACGATTGCATCTGATTTCGTAAGCGATAAGGTATGAAATGAAATAATCCATTTCTTACCTCTTACTACTTACGTCTTGCGTCTCACGGAAAAATACTGTATGTTTATTTTTCTTGTTTCTTATCGTTACATCTTACCGCTTAGCGTTACGGAACTCTGAATCGGCCTTTATACTGATTTACGTTAAGGACCCGAGCGACGGAGAAATTCTACTCAAAGCTTACGGGTACCCATGCCGTAGAAGACGCAGAAGCGAACGCATACTGGGTCAGAAGAGAAGACGACTATTTGCGATCGGTACCAAACCGACTACCACCACAGGCAAATCCAAGATTAATTCAGGATGTAAAGCCGCCCCTGAGGGACATATCACTTACCTTTGGATTCATCCGCATTTCTTTCGTAGGTAGTCCACCTTCGGTCATGGCTCTCATCAAACAAATCATGCACTTGGTCTTTCCGGCGCCGGTTGGTCCTAAATTCATTACAAAAAATGTTTTTAGTCTAATACAAATATCGGCTAGATGATCTATAGGAGAAGTAGAATTTTAAGATAATTTGAATTTATCGAAAATCGCACAAAATCATGAATATTACGTGTACGCTGTAATCCGTTTCCAAGGACCTTTGATTTGATATATTCAATAAATGTCCCAGGTTTCGTGCTTATTGTTAATAAAAGTGGATTGTTCCGTTCTGAAAGGAGGCCTCCTTGTTGAATTGATACGTCGTCAGTTTTTCTTAAGTTAAGGTGTGTCGTTGTTGATAAATAGATTAATTCTTCGTAGTACTCGAAGCTCGTAATACACACATAGAATGTTTTATTTGTGAACACCACTTTTTATTTCTTTTTTTGTTTGAGCGATCGTAACACCAAATAATGAATTTACCGTTGCTTAAATTTATTATAGAAAATCACATGTATCTCGCTTTCCCGGAAAGGCAATAGTGCGATTACGAAATTAGTATTAACTACCCAACCTTGTATAATAGTAGGGTAGCTCGAAAGAGGATTTTGTGATTCACTGAAGCGCGGTGTAAAGCCTACCTTGCACCCCATATAAGCTCTTAATGTAGTATGGTAGAGCTACCACCAGAATAATAAAAAATAGACCGTTAGAAATACTCGAACGCGTCAGATATTAAAGTAAAGTGGGTTGACTACGTGTTGAAAAGTGTGCATTTCAATAATCTGACAAATTGAGCGTGGCGTAAGGGAGTGGGGAGGTCACAAACTTGCAGAAACAACCTCGACATTGTCAAGCGCGTTGAAATTTTTATTATTTTGAAGGAAATTATTCAAAAATAACCGAAGAAATATAGTCTGTCGATTACTACACTCCAAAGTAGAACAAATCGAGAATAAAGTTCAGTGCGTTCAGCAGTTGAACATGTCAGACGGTCGTGTCACAAATTATACGTACAACCCTCTGGTTTGTTTGTGTGTTTTACTGTAAATTTTGTGAGTTTAATATCTATTACGGCGATGACTCATAATAATATAAAGTGTGTCTAAAACAATAAAAAAATGCTTCACTTGAAAAACTATCAGATCAAGAGAATCCTTCTAAGTTATCGTCACATCAAGCTATTGACGCGCTCATTATTTTGTTTTACACATTATTAAAAAAGTGTAAACGCGGCCCCACCGGTGGAAGGATGTACAACATGTAACTTTTTTTCTTTCTCCCATCTAATCTACAAAGTTCAGGTCCCTAGGAGGCTCGAGTAAATTCCCATTTTTTGTAATTCCGAAACTTGGACGACCTACACGCTATGGTAACATATGCCTGCTTTAATCTATGCCCGTTCTGATTTTTCCTTTGCTATTTATGTTGCTGAGCAGCAACTCTGAAACGGACCCAACGCAAATCTCCGGACAGCTTCCCTTTTTAGCCAGTAGTAGAACGGCATTTTTGTTATTTCGGCGTCGTCTATACGGAACCACCGAGCTGGCAAGTTTTCTGCTATCTCGATAAAAACTCCGCGCCTACTATACTTGACAATTCAAAAAATGTCAACAGCAACTGCGCGTTTCCGTTACAACTACGGATGCTTTTCATAAAAGTGAATCTAGTGGACATACTATGAAATAGATTTGCGCATGTGCAGAACTAAATTTCCTATTTATGGGCTTTTGTAAAAACTTCATACCCAAAGGCGGAAATAGATTAGCAAGATTTCTCGCGAGAGTTGCTGTCTGATAGCACTGTCAAGGTATAAATACCACCGTACATTTGACTTACGGTGGTATGTACACCTCGATTTGTAAGGACGTTGCCAAACAGCTTAGTTGTCTCTAGGGAATGCCTTTTTGCGGGATTAATCCCGTACGTAAATGGAGCAGGATCCCGCGGGATTTGCTGGATTGCAGAATTTATCGACCAAGCTTACCACCATACATTAGCAACTCTGCGAATTTGATTATTTCGCATATTTTTGTTGTTGCAGTTCATGTACCTAATAATTACGCGCAAACCTGTATCTGTTATTAACTTTGTTAAACAGCGAGTGAGTGCGCAAATCGGACTTATTTTGCTACTGTTTTAAAACGCAGGAACTGTTATTCCTGTAGACAATATATCGGACTCGTCGTATGGAAATATTACAGCGAATATTCTAGACATCCAGGTAGACATGGAGGGGCCATAAAAGATTGCTCACCGGCGACAAGAAATGACGGCAGATGTGATGCATTCTTTCTGCGAAATACAATGTGTTTTCTTGAGAATATTCCGTTAACTGCACAAAATTGCTTATTTCCGAATGTTTTTAAAATTTTGCGGGATACCGCAAATACCGGGATCCTGTGTGCTGCGGGATTGCATTCCCTAGTTGTCCCTACTATTCACGTGAAACAACTCTTCTTTGTATAAATAAAAAAAATGTGTTTTTTTTACCTAATACCATCAGTCCATGTCGTACCAAGTATGTTTCGTACAGCTGCACCACTTTTAAATTCCACGAAGAGTAATTAATAATGCCCATTTGCGCCGTTTGGTTTGCAATCGACCTTTGAAGATCCTTCCACGAGTGAACGGTTAATTTTATTCCCGGGAACATATCGTCAATAAGCGACAAGAACAGCGGCTCGTCTTCGTCGACCAGTTTGCTCAAATTCATATCCCTGATAAATAATGACTTGCTTCGTTAAGAATTAGTACGCGACGGTTATACCTTAACACTCTCATAACGATCGTTTCCTCTGTATCGTTCGGATTCATTCGTTTCTGGGCGCCGAGTGTTCGTAAAACAGAGAGAATGTTACGCAAGCCAAAATCGTAATGTACCTGTAACGTAAATTAAGGTGCAAGTTTGACGATACCATGCGAACCTGCTTTGACAGCTGCTCCTCGCAGAGTTTATATAAGGTGAAGAACTTTCTAGCTAAGATTACGTTTTCTTTGAAACCGCATGACGCCAGTTTCACTCGAATGATGATCTGGCGATCGGGAACCATCATGGAAACTGTGCGAAACATTATCTTTAAATTTTCCGGCAGTTCTTGTCTACCGGCGTAACCAGGATTCATGGTTAGAAATATACCAAATTCGATATTCATGGAAACGTTGTCTCCATCACTACGATGTAGATATTTTTTTACGTACTTACGTAAATTATAAAACCTGCCTAAATATAAAAAAAGGTTTCCTCTCCTTACGGGCTGTTAGCACTATGTAAATTTGTTGTGCCGCAACCGACAGTACAGGCAGTTCAATTCTGTTGAATTCGTCGAAACAGCCCCATGTACCAGACTGAGCTAAACCCTAAATGAAGGTTAGCGATGACGCCATGAGTAAAACGCCAGATGATACCTTATAGATTCGTCCCAAACCTCTAAAGTCCATCTGGTCTGAGCAATTAAAGACTACTACAAACTTTCCTAACGTTCTCCCCATGTCTTTGGTGGTTTCGGTTTTTCCGGTACCAGCAGGTCCAGCTGGTGCGCCGCCCATATTCATCCCTAAAAGGCCTACTTATTGTTAGCTTTTAGCGCCTTACTTACAAATGGCCTGGGCCAAAGTAATGTAACATCTGTCGGTTAATGGAGTGATCGCTAAGCGCTCTGTAATGCCAAGGTACTCGTTTTGGTATTCAAAAATGACATCAGTAATTTTAACCACGCACTGATCGTTCTCTTCGTTGTAGTAAAATCTGGCTTGTTTCTGCCATTCGAAATCATTCAATGACCTTACCTTTAACTGGACCATATCATCAAAGATATCCCTAAAGGGTTTCATGTAGTCCAGTTATACCTACCATCAACAACATACCTCTGATGGACATGTATTGTTACCATGGTTTCGTAACGTGTTCGCTGCATTTTCGTTAAATCCTTGGACGTAAGATCGATTAAATCGTTTAGAATGTCTAAAAACCTCTGGTTAGTCGCTTTCATGATAATTTTATCGACGCGTGATTTTCGAATGGCAATTTCTGCTTCTTTAGTCCACAAGAGCTGAACGCCGACTAAACCCGCCTACAAGACGCTTTTATTTCCTGCCGGAAGGGATTCGTGTAATCACCTGTCCGCAAAATTCGACAAACCCCTTGATAAAGTCGTAATCCGGATTTACGAAACATTGAGCTTGAACCGCAATCACGTTCCTTACGGTATCTCGCACAGTCCCTAGTAGCTTATTCAGCCATATCTCAACCCCGCCGACGCAGTTGACCGGCTTATCGAATGGAACAACTTCACCCAAATCCGACGACATGGCGATTACGTCCTCGTATTTATTTTCGTCGAAAATAACCTGCGTTCTCAATTAATGAGGGCGGTAAGCTTTGCTAGATTCTTACTTTGTAAACGGCGTCGAATAAGCTGAGTAAATGTGGCTGAATAGAGTGCGGATCGGAACTCTGGCCTAGAATTTCCAGCAGTACAGGATCGGATATGAAGAAAAATCGTGGAAAGCATAGCCTTTTCGATTCTGTGAACATTTGCCATGAACTCACTTCCGATGGAAAGAAGGTGGATACCTAGGTATCCCGTTAAACTTTTTTGACACGTCTCCAATTGGTCTAGAAGATACGGTAATAACTGAGTCATGGTTTCATCACCCGTGCAGCATTCCACCACGTTAACAATATCGTGAGCCCTTACCATAATCTTCAACCACGCCTTGTCAATGGCCTGAAAGACCCATAAGGTATGATTGGCAGAGATGAATTCTTACCGAAAATCTTTTGGCTTCCGCCGGCAATTGTTTTGATATGTCTCCCCCTACGAATACAGCCTCTAAGTACACCCACAAATTTTGGACTTGCATCCACTTTTCGAGAACCTCGGATGTTGTCACTAGCTTGTGCGCCCATGTTTGGAGGTCTCTCTTGAACGGTGCGTTATACCTGTTGCTTAATAAAGAGTTTAAAATCATCAAACTGTCTTCTAGCATTGCAATAATTTCGCCAGTTTCGCTGCCTTTGAGCAGTAGCTCTCCTTTAGTTTTGAAAGTGCCGAACGTTAAGTCAACAATCGCCCAATCGGCAATTACTTGCTTCAACTTTGCCTCGATGTCCTTTTCCTTTACCGCGCTAATGCAAATGTCCTCTACATCATCCTTAAACTTCAATAGAGGGGCTTCCATAACGTCACGTAGCGTAAAGGTTGGAGACTCTATCGGAAACTCGTAACTGGTCACCTTAGCTATTCTTTTCCAGTGTCTGTCTTTCATGGCCTGAAACAAATCAACTGACTCCAATTGTTGCAGAAGAACAAACTTTACTTTATTCGCCATTAATTCTAGAAGAGGGCACGTTTCATTGAAGTCATCAATTTTCTGTTTCAAATCTAGAAACGCAGGCCAATCCTTCAGAGCCTTCGGTAATTTGCGACACCTAAAACATCGTTACTAGTTTTTGCAGTGGCGATGAACTACTGACTTGTTTTGGAAATCCGTTAATTCTGTAATAATAACTTCGGTATCAACATCACTCCACAAGAGATCGAAGTACCCATCTATGGTGCTGTTCACCTGCAGATATAACCCGTACAGCTTATTTAGAAGATTGAACTCCTTCTTTCGCTTGTGAAGTGCGGGGTAGTCGTTAACTTCCATTCCGAACAGCATTTCCCCGCTCGAGTACATCTCAAATTTGGCCCATAGATCGTCGAAGCGCGCTTGGAAAAGCAGGACCCGATCACTTGCCTCGCGCGCTTGTAGGCCGGGTATCATGGGGCCGTTGAGCTCGTAGTCCATGTCGAACGCGTCAACGTCCTTGGCAAACGTCGCGACGCCAGCGATTAATTCGGCTTGAAGTGGTGCTTGAGCCAAAATTATGTCGTACTGCACTTGTTTCGCCTATATAACAAATTAATTCATTTCAAAGAGGTATGAGTCCTCTACATTTTACAAGATGTAAACTGACCATCAAGTGGATATAGGATTAGTCACCGGCCCGGTGATAAGAAGTGAAACCGGATGTAGCGCATTATTGCCATGAAATGTGATATGCTAGTTAGAGAATTCTCTAGAATCTTTTTGTTTAGTATATATCCAAATTGTCTTGTATTTAATTTCAGTTCCAACATCGATGCCAAAGTGATAAATAATGAAATTCGCGCTCATGTGTTATATGTGATAACTTGAAGGGATAAATAATAATTAACTGTTATAAATCTATCTATTTAAGAACCGTTACCAATTCATTAATAATTAATTGTAGATAAACAAAACAGTTTAAAATAGGTATGTAGCAAATGATGTTTAACTTTTTTTTGTTAACTTCCATACTAAAACCTGAAAGATTTGTAGAAGATAAACTGTAAAAATTGAGGTATTTAACAATTTAATATGTTAAATGACCATCAGCGATTAAGTTTGTATCATTTTGTAGCTATCAGTTAATTATCATCATTCGATCATTCCCTAAGGATCGTCTTACCTTAGATAGCCACAGAGAAATATCGGTGGTCTTACTAACCAAACATGTTTTCTTAGGATCTGGTGGGTTTTGTCACCCGCACGTTGGTGAGGTAGGCATACATTGGGGTAAAAAATTACCTCTCCTTTGTTTACGGAAACACACGTTTTGAACACCAGGAATCCGAATGAAACAAAATGTCGATAATGTCGATCTGTCTGTCGATCTGCCTGTATTACTCTCATTTCCGGGTAAACGCATGAACAAGAAGACTAGACGCGCGATCATTTTTATCCGTGTCATATAGAGACAGCCTATTTTTGAGGCGATCTTGTGCTGTGTACATGTACACTACATTTTTATGCATTTAACTGTCCGTAATCCTATTTGGATTGTACTTCCCGTTGTATTCATAGCAATTACAAACAATATGAAAGTACCGGGTGACCCAATAAGACTGTTCCTCGGCCATATCTAGAGAACCATTCGTCATATGACTTAGGGGTAAAAAAATCATTGGGTAAATCGGTCATGAAGAATCGCTGTAAAATATTTTCAAATTCTAAAAATGACCAACAGAGGGCATAACTGCCATCTTAAATTTTAAAATTGCATTTTCTTTAAATTTCGCATAATAAACAACATTTTTTTTCACATTTTTAAAGAGAACCCTTTTATCTATCATTTTCGTAAAAATTCAGTTATTTCAAAAACAAAGATGGTGTGGGGCGTTCAATTGTTTTTGCAGTAACCTGCTTTAACTTCTTAACCGTTTGGCCGATTTTTAAAAAATTTGGTATGGTTGAAAAGAGCATTCCTTGGGCAATGTGATTCAATAATTACAATTAATTTAGTTAAATCCATCTCCGCCAGGGGGCGAGTTTTGACACTATGACCCAAAACTCTAAAGAAATCAAAAAAATCAAGTGGAATGATATGACTTTTTCTTTATGAAAAAGTAGCCAAATAACATCCAAAGAGGTTTTTCAAAATCTCGTTCCAAAATATTGGGAAAATGAGATTAATTAATTCATTTGTCCAATAGAAACCGTGTACCGGGTAACCCAATAAGACTGTTCTCGGCCATATCTCGGGAACAGTTCGTCATATGACTTAGGGGTAAAAAAATTGTTGGGTGAATCGGTTATGAAGAATCGCTGGAAAATATTTTCAAGTTCTAAAAATGACCAACAGAGGGCGTAACTGCCATCTTAAATTTTAAAATTGCATTTTCTTTAAATTTCGCATAATACACTCAACATTCTTTTTTCACATTCTTAAAGAGAACCCGTTTATCTATCATTTTTGTAAAAACAAAAACTCAGTTATTTCAAAAAGAAAGATAGTGTGGGGCGTTCAATTGTTTTTGCAATAACCTGCTTTAACTTCTTAACCGTTTGACCGATTGCAACAAATTTGGTATCGTTGGAAAAAGCATTCCTTGGGCAATAAGAATCAATCAAAATATAGTTAATTTAGTTGAATCTTTCTCCGCCAGGGGGCTAGTTTTGACACTATGATCCAAAATGCTAAAAATGAAATGGAATGATACATTTTCCTTATGAAAAAGTAGCCAAATAACACCCAAAGAGGCCAGTGAAAACCGTTTTTCAAAATCTCGTTCCTAACCTCAAATATTGGGAAAGTGATAGATAAACTGTTCCTCTTTAATAATTTGAAAAAATGTTTTTAAGTTTATTATGCGAAATTTAAAGAAAATGCAATTTTAAAATTTAAGATGGCAGTTACGCCCTCTGTTGGTAATTTTTAGAACTTGAAAATATTTTCCAGAGATTCTTTATGACCGATTTACCCAATAATTTTTTTTACCCCTAAGTCATATGACGAACGGTTCTCAAGATATGGCCGAGGAACAGTCTTATTGGGTCACTCGGTACATCAAAGCGTCTGTTTCGAGGTCTGTTTAAATGCTAAAATAATCCTTCTTTATACCGGGGACAGGCTTGTCATTGCAGTAGTGCTCGCACTACTATATGTGTGTCGAGAACAAAGGGAAAGTATGGGGTGGGGAGTCGAGGTATTCGTCGACGGGCTCAATAATAAAATTCGAATCTCAAAAATGGAGTATCGGTAGCAGGTACTTACAAAGGGAAAGTGGATGGTTGCGAAGTAACCGTTGAAGAAGTTGATTGGGTTCAAACTTCAAATGAAACCTCGAAGACGGGGTCTGAAAGAACACCTGTAGAGGAAAGTGGATGGTACAAGACAGATCCCTCTATGTGGGGTCACAACCTTAAATGCAAAATTACGAAACCCGAGTATCGGAGGGGATAGTCAAAACGAGAACGGTGAAAATCTGTGTTACTTTTACTGCGCTCGTAGATTACCGTTGTGGTTTTGGTGCGACCGGGGATACACTCAAACCCAGTAGATACATACACAGGGAATGGTGAGTGAGTGACTACGCACGGTGTACCTATAAGTGATATGTGACATGCGCATCCCTATTACCATAATATTGCTGTATTATACTATGCTATTACTTTCCCTACCATCCTACACGAGGAAATTTATATTTAGAAAAAGCACTCAAAACTTGGTCCTTTGAGCCAAATACATTTTTTTCCTTTTTTTGCCATTTCAAATTGGTACTTATCAAACCAAATTTACGAAATAAAAGCAACATGTTGTACCTAGTTTTTAAAGTATACACTTAACTATGAACAAACGGTTTAACCAAATCGAGATGTGTCCATCGAACTTTACTTACGTGCTCCAACATACTGTTAAAGTTCAGTCTCAATGTGTCCATTCGTTCAATGTCCTCTTTAGGTACGTCAATATTGTAGTTAGTAAATACTCCATATGCCTCCTCCATTAAGCCCAAACACAAATCCATGTTGATAAAATTCTCGCGTACCCGCTGAAGGCAAGCCATTGCCGTTCTGGAAACATCATCATCAAGTTCGCAGTAATACTAAATTTAAAATTTACCTGCAGTCGTCCAAATCCTTGATAGGTTTCGCCAAAATCTTCTCTTGGGCTTTAATAAAGTCGACCATTGCCATTAGTTTCTCCTTGTACTTGATGCCCAACTTCTTCCCTAGAAGATGCTTCCACGCGTCCGATTCGATCAACAGCGCTAGTTTATACTCGTCCATCAGAATGCGTATGGGTCCAATATCGTAATGCTCGGGCAGTTGACGTATTTCGTCCGCCCTTGAGTCGTACTCGGTGAATCTCTCGCTAATTTGGACGATTAAAGGTTCCGCGTCGCAGAACGCCTGAATTTGGTCGTCGCGGTCGTTCGTCCATAGAAAGGCGTATTTATGGTAATAATCCTGAAAATTGAAAGAGTGATACAGGCTAGGTATAGTTCGCTGGCCGCTCACGTGCAGTAGCTTCTTCACGTCGGGGCTATATAGGTACATCGCCCCTTGGAGGGCCATAAATATTCGTGAAACTTCCTTTTGTTCAGTAATCATTTTGTGAAAGTTGGATAAATCTTTCATCTCAGTTTCGGGAAGTATGTCGCCTTGGCCCCACATTGGAATTTCGCTTGAAATCTCTAAGATGGCGTTAACAATTTTGCCGAAATGCAACTCGATTTCGTCAAGAGTTGGATTGATAACCGCGAGGGGAATGCGTAATTGCATTCTGGTCAGCAATATTGGGGTGGGAGTTGCGTGGTCATCCATAAAGCTAATGGAACCATTGAACTGATTGAACATAGGCAGTAAGCTACGTACCTAACCGGTTTCACCCTTTGTCTTAAAAGGTCCAAGGATAATTTCGTTGCTCTCACTAGACAGTCGACGGTTTTACCATTAAAGTATTCAAAAAGATCCAGGCAATCTTTGTGAAAAAGGTGGATGTCTGACAAACTTTTGGGGTCAATCTCCTTAAAAGCTGCAATATAACGATTGTACCAAAATCGCATGGACGTTATTGAAAATCTTTAGTACCTGCATCCGATGCTAACTTTGACGTAGAAGAGGATGCATTAAGGGGCTTTGTCGTATCCAACCAGTTGTACTTCTCAGCTTGTATTTCTGGGTCTGACAGTGTATCGGCAAATTTATTAACTAGCGATATTGCAGCTTTCTCGACTGTATACAGCTTCAAGCGTATTTCCGCCACTAATTAAATGGTCTAAATTAAATTGAAAAGAAGAGATATTACCTTTTTGAATTTTATACGATAGACAGATTTGCAGCAACTCATTCGGGAATATCGGTTCTGGGGGAAGGAAAGTTAAAAACGTCTTGGCAATTTGCGCAAAAACTTCGTCAATGCGCGCCTCCTTTATATCGGTGACTTCCTTTAGAAACATCTGTACGATTTCCAAGGTTTCCGTTACGTTTTTGCAGAAGTCGGGAATTCTCATTGACGTCCATGTGATTGTTGAGAGGGCGGGCATAAAGACCACTTGCATTTTCAGTAGCTGACTTTTAAGTAGCGGAATGAACAACTTGGGCATATCTCTTCTCATGGTGTTGTTCTTTTCAACCAGTTGCTTCACCACCTCGTAGGCGTGAAGAATCTTATTTTTACAGAAGACCAATATTTGAGCCACATCCGGTACGGCTATTAAAAGGAGCGTGCTGACGTTTTCGAAAATACGATGTCATCACTTACGAAGATCCAGTTTTTGTATGTACTCAGTTTCCCGGATTGCCTCCACTATGTAAGGGTCGAAATTGACCACAAACCTTCTTGTTTTATTATTGGTGATTAGTATCGGCGCACCTAATACTCCTCTCACCTGAAAAACCATTTTGGGCGACCCATTCCATTAAAAAATAAACTGTACCTGAGGGATGTGCTTAAACCAAGCTTTGTGGTACAATTGTTCATAGTGTACAAAAACACAAGACAAAGAATTGAACATCTGAATACATTTTTGAACTTTACGATGCCTCATAACCTGAAAAAAAAAGATGTAATGGTAAAGGGAGTGTTCTAAATGAGACATATTTGAAAAAGCTGAAACATAAAGCAGTAATCAACACGAAATCAGCACCCCATAGTAAACAAAAAAGGGGCCATAAATGTTACGCTACGTGCTCCACGTTAACCGCCCATTGCCATATAAGAATCCCCAGGTGTCCCTCGACATGCACTATAACGGGAGCCCGCTAGGCCGAATTTTAGATACGTAAAAATCGCATGTACCGCTTCATATATGAATAGTATTATGTAGGTGCGTAGCAAGGACGCGTGGGTTTTTGAGTAGCCCAATTTCGTTGGTTCCGTCTGGATGGAGCCGAAATAACGTGAATAGATAAAAACAAGTATAAATTGTGCACAACTCTTGTACAGATAAAGCGCATTTTTTTACCGAAATAGCTTTTGTTTTGACATCACCAATGGATATATTCCTTGCAGATGTCTCAATCGCACTTTGTGAGTAGGTACCCTCTTCCGACAATCCGTTCTTGAGGTATAAGGGAATACTTATACCCGATCACGATAACAGGTCGAGGAGGAGGGCTATGGTTGGTAGAAATTAATTCCTTTCGTTAAGACCTTTCATTAGAGTACCATGAAGGATAAAACCACTTCCCCCACTCCTCCCCCTCCACCCCGTACTTTGACCAGATGACAGAAAGAAGGGCAGTAGTTGGTAGAAAGCGGTTCCATTCGTTGAGATCTTTAATTAGAATACAATGAGATATAAAATTAATAAGCATTATGCGGGTCACTCTGTAATTGGGCGCAAGCCTGTTGAGGGCCCAGAACAAGAGAGGGATAATAACAATAATAATAATAATAAAAAAGTATCTTGGTTTTCAGCAAAATACACATATTAAACATACGAGTATAAAACAAACACTTATCACACAATACCTACAAAGAGTACGCAGTATACTTACAACAAAATTACACGGTAGAAATACAATCAAAGCTATTAACACTTATGCCATACCAGTGCTTACATACTCTTTCGGGATTATACGTTGGACTAATACAGATTTAGAACAAATACAGAGAAACACACGTACACTATTAACAAAACACCATATACATCACCCTCACTCCTCCAGTATACGACTTTACCTTCCTCGTTCGGAAGGAGGTAGAGGACTTACAGATATAAAACTATTACACCAAACACAAATACACAATTTACGACAATACTTTTATAACAAATCAGATACTTCAGTCTTACACAAAACAGTATCATATGCAGACAAATCTTACACACCACTTAACCTACACGAAACTAATGTACTCCCACCCACATCCAAACTTACATACATCACAAATAACATACGGACATGGAACCAAAAGCCTTTACATGGACGATTTCCACAAGAGGTTGGCCAGGATTGTGTTGACTCTATAGCAACGCACAGTTGGTTGTCTGAATGTGATGTCTTCCCGGAGACTGAGGGTTTCATGTTAGCAATACAAGACCAGGTCATTAACACACGCAACTATAAAAAACACATACATAAAGATAAAACAGTGACAAATGATTCTTGTCGACTCTGTTCACAAACATCAGAAACAATCCAACATATAATATCGGCATTGCACACGACTTGCACAAACTGAATACAAACATCGACACGATCAGGTAGCTAAAATCATACATCAAAAATTAGCACTTAAACACAATCTCATAACAGATACGACCCCATACTACAAATACACGCCACAGATCATACTCGAAAACAACACACACAAATTATATTGGGACAGGACACTACTCACAGATAAAACTATCCACAATAATATACCAGACATTACACTTATAGATAAAACACAAAAATCCATTTGTATTATAGACATTGCCATCCCCAACACTAACAACTTAACTAAAACACATGCAGAAAACCACCGCAAATACACCGATATAGCTATCGAGCTTAAGACGCAATGGAGAATGAAATCTACTGTTATAGTTCCCATTATTCTTAGTGCTACTGGAGTTATACCAAAGACAATACACCACAATTTGCAACTATTAGGTTTAGACAAAAACACATACAAACATTTACAAAAAGCAGTCATTATCAACACATGCCATATTGTTCGTAAATTTCTAAACATAACACAAGATACTACACACAGAAATGATCCACAACGTATACATGTAAACAACAGTACTCGCTCACAACACGGTACACAACATACTGTAATATCTCCACCTCTAACCCAAACAAGCACACAAATACAACTTACCGAACAAACAAGTACAACATATACTACAATCAGAGATTCACCTCTGAAGCAAACCACATTATCACAACCCATTAGTATTCAACCCAAACGCAAAAGCCTAAACAGCACTTTAGACTCACAACATGACACACAACATACTGTAAAATCTCCACCCTTAACTCAACCAACCACACAAACACAACTTCCTGAACAAACAAACGCAATAAATACAAGTAACGCAACACGCACTACAAAGACGCCCTCACCCACACGGCCTAGCACAGCTAAAAAACACAATACTCTTTCTTCTCAGAAACACACCACGGTATCACAAACACAACCCACTCGTAATCAACCCAAACGCAACAACCTTAACAGCACTACAGGCTCACAAAATACTGTAATGTCTCCACCAATAACCCATGCAACAACAGAAATACAACTTCAAGAACAAAGAAACACCATAAATACAAGTAACGCAACTTGCACTACAAAGACAGGTCCATCCAATAAAGTTACACGCCCTAGCACATTTAAAAAACACAAAACTCCTTCTTCACAGAAACACACCACATTTTCACAACCCACTCGTATTCAACCGAAACACAAAAACCTTAACAGAACTACAGGCTCACAACATACTAAAATATCTCCACCTAAAACCCAAGCAACTTCACAAATACAACCTCAAGAACAAAGAAACATCATAAATACAAGTAACGCAACATGCACTACAAAGACATGTCCACCCAATAAAGTTACACGCCCTAGCACAATTAAAAAACACATAACTCCTTCTTCACCGAAGCACACCACGTTATCACAACCCACTCGTATTCAACCCAAACGCAGAAACCAGAAACCTATACAGCACTACTAGCTCACAAAATACTGTAATATCTCCATCAATAACCCAAGCAACCTCACAAATACAACCTCAAGAACAAAGAAACACACCATAAACACAAGTAACGCAACATGTACTACAAAGACAGGTCCATCCGATAAAGTTACACGCCCTAGCACAGTTAAAAAACACAATACTCCTTCTTCTCAGAAACAACCCACTCGTATACAACCGAAACGCAAAAACCTTAACACAGACTCACAAAATACTGCAATATCTCCACCAAAAACCCAAGCAACCTCACAAATACGACCTCAGGAACAAAGAAACAACACCATAAATACAATTAAAAAACACAAAACTCCTTCTTCACAGAAGCACACCACGTTATCACAACCCACTCGTATTCAACCCAAACGCAAAGCCAAAGAAACACTTACACAATAAACTCCATTTAATAAAATTACAGGAATTATTATAATGATTTTTTGTTTTGTTTTGTTTTCCTCTTTCCTGATAGCGTTGGCTATTGTGCCCATCAATAGGTATGTTGGTAAGTACGAATTACATACTATCCCTAGATGTCCAATGTACGTGTGTGATTTTTTTTTTTTTTACCCTACATAACTTCACCAGACACAGACACAGACACTAATCGTTACTTGATTTTAATCCGTGCGATTAGTTAACCAGGCTAGACCTGAGTTCTCACAAGAAACACCGATAATAATAATAATAATTCATTTATTGTCTTTACATGTAACATAGACTCCTCGAATAGATAAAGAAGTATAAATATACCATAAAACAGTAATGGTAAAATATAGTCACAGCACATTGTCAAAATATTCATTCATAGTAAGGACAATTAGTAGTAGATTGGTGCCTTTTCGAAAAGTGTATATTTCGAAATCAGAGAGGAAAAAATCTCGGCACTCTTTATCGATACAGCTTAGCACTGCCACTAAAGTACATTCTTATCACGATATCGTGATTCTTATGTATGTACTATAAATGGACATGTACAACTTTTTCATTGTATATGAATTTTTTGTTACATTTACTGTAAATAATTAGATAAACATAATAGAACAATGTTCACAAGTCTCCCTGCGTACGTTTCCGCAATTACGTAAGATTACTTCCCGGGCGAAGAGATTAAACGGATTTGATTAAGTACGGACTTTAATTAACAAAAACGTAGGATCCATCTAGACGGTTTTTCTTTAAATTGGTTTCAATTTTGCGAATCACGCCTGTGAAACGATGTTGGCTTCCTCTTCCTTCCCTAAAATTAATAAGGAAGCCAGCCCAAATTTCCGTGAAAGGGAAAAAGTGTTTCCCAAATTCACTTGTACGACGAACAAAGTATACGCTTTAAAGGGATCGTCTAAACAAATTGCTTTCACTCGTCCATAAATTTGTTTTATGGCGGTTTTATAAATAAATCGCTGAAATAAATAGTTTTATCTAACACTACTGACAATTTAAGGTTGTTCGATAAATCAAAACGTTACTAGTTTAGTACTTAAAAATATGTTGTATATATCAATATTAGGTGGATATAAAGAGTGGAATCGTAAATAGAATTTTCAGTACCCGTAATATAGCTATAAATATTTCCGGTAGAGATATTTATGTGTAAAATACAAGTAGTTCTGATTTTATGGGGAATGACTAGAATTTATTACTCCTACACTCGTTTCTCGAACAGCAAACGGAAGGTTATATACGAAAATGTGTTTTAAATGAAAATATCGAGTGTTTTCGTTCTTTCATGAAAACTGAAAGTCCATCACATCGCTTTCCGTATGTAAGATTCTTTCGCTGTTACTAGTATTATGTAGTCCACGTTTTTGTGCTGAATATGATCACGTTATTACAAACACCCAGTATATAACCAACGT